AGCTGCAAGTGGGCACAAATCTATTACTGTTGGAGACCTGAGACGTGACATAGCTAGGGGGTGGTGCAGGCCTGACAGTCTAGCACTCAGCAAACAGGCTGAGGCAGGAGGATCATCATTGTAAGGTCATCCTGGTCTACACAGTGAGACCATGTATCAAAGTAAAACATAAAAATAAGGGCTAGGAGTGTGGCTCAGTGGTAGAGCAGCTGCTCAGAATCTCCCATGGGGGGCTGGAGGCGAGGTTCGGGGTAGAGCTGGATCCCTAGAATTCCTGTGAGGGAGGGGGTTAACAGCACTGGCTGAGCATGTTTATGGCCCTGGTTCAATGCCCAGTATTGGGGTTTAAGTGTGGTGGTGGGGGTGCAGAGCAGGAGCTTTAAGACAGAACCAAGATGCAAAAGCGCCTGCGTGGAGCTCATGACCCTCTTTAACACTCGTCACTCCAGTCTGGCCATGAGAACTTAAAGAAACGAGGTGGTGACTGGCCTGGTGACACACATCTGCAGTCCCTGTCCTTGGGAAGTCATTGTGAGTTCCAGTCCTGCCTGGGCTACATAGTAGATTCTGTCTACATAGACACATATATTCACCATGAGGCTGCCTGAAACCCAGGCAGGTTTGTTGTTGTTTTTTTTGGGGGGGTGTTGGTTTTTGGGTTTTTTTTTTGTTTTTTGTTTTTTGTTTTACCTCTTCCCTGTATCCTTGTAATAAATCCCAGATGCCACTTCAGATGTGGCATCAGACACACAGTTCAAGGGCACAGTCCCCATCCTCAGGGGCCTTGTGGTCTAGTTATTTCTGGGAATGACATCATTCACATAGAGCAGATACAGGAGAAACCATGTAGAGTGCACTGAACTGTTCACCTTTCCTCCATCCCCAACTTGGTACCCACCACTACCATGTTGTTTTTGAGTCTCCTAGTAGCCTAGAACTCCCCATTTAGCAGAGGACGGCCTTGAACTGACCCTCTGACCTGCACTACCTTCATGCCGGGATTATAGACATGTACCATCACGTCCAATCTATTCAGTGTTTCAAAGCTTCATGCACGCTAGGCAAGCACTCTGCCAACTAAGCCACATCTCTAGCCCATGGTATGCTTTTGGGCATGTGTATGTATTGTTTATGTATGTGAGTGCAGACATCTGTGTGCCATGGAATGCACGCAGAGGGCAGAGGACAACTCAGGTGTCAATCTTTGCCTTCTAGCTTGAGAGAGGGTCTTTTGCTCAATGCTCTACTAGCTGGCTTCAAGCTCTGGGGAATTCCTGAGATTCTTTTTTTTTCCCCACATCTCTCACCATAGGAACACTGAGAATCTAGATGTATGTTACTATGGCTGGCCTCTTGTGGGTTCTGGGGTTTTGAACCCAACTGAGTTACTTCCCCAGCCCTTGCTGTGCCAGTTTACAGTGCACCAGGTGTCACTAACCCTCCTCTACCAGACACATCCCAGGACCACGTTCACAGCGCATCAGGTATCACGAGTTCTCTACCAGACACATCCCAGGGCCATAGCTGGGTGTGGTTAATGAACTCTAAGTAGCTGTCACAGGCTGAAGCAGCAAGAGAGGGTGCCATCAGTTGATAGAGTGGGGCTTCCAGAGTCAAGGGGGCCAGGGATGCTGCTGAGTGTGTTTTCCACTGTTCCAAGGTTCAGAGGAGAGGATGGAAGCTGACGGAGCTCACCTGAAGAATGGGAGCAAAAAACATACCAAGTTCCATCCCTGGTACAATTAAAAGGAAAAAAAAAGGAAAAAAAACTAATTTTGTTGTTTTCTAAAATGTGTATGGCACAGGCCATCCTGGCCACAAACTTCCTTCTTCCACACAGCTGGAGGGATTTTCAGTCTTCCTGGATTTGCAGAGAATGGGGCTCTATGAACCACCTGGCTGAACGTCCCCCTCAAGAGCACACCTACATCTCTTCCTTGACTCCCTCAGGGTCCCTTCTCATGTGTTTCCCCTCCCACAACAATCTTCAGGTCATCTCTGGTGCACATGCACGCACACACACACACACACACATGCACACACACACATATACACACATGAGGTCAACATCAGATGCCTTTATCTCCTGCTTTCTACCTTGTTTTGAGACAGAATTCCTCACTGAATGTGGAGTCCGATGTTTTCAGCTAGACTAGGTGGCCAGCAAGCCCCAGGGTCTGTGCCTCCCCAGCACTGGAATTACAGACTGCACAACCACTCCCAGCTTTTTACATGGGTTCTGATCCAGTACCGCGCCTCATGCTTCCACAGCAAGCACCATATTGACGGGCCATTTCCCCAGTTCCTTCTGCCTGCTTTTGAGAGGTTCAAGCTGGTAACATGATGAGAAATGGCTAGAGAGGGGGTGAGGAGCTACAGAGGGGCACAGAGCAAGGAACGCAACCGAGTGGGGAGACGAGAGTGCTGTGCCAAGAACGAAAAAAGAAGAAAACAGAAAGATGCCAAAGTCAGAGAAACACACACAGGCCCGTTACCGGCAGTACTCCAGGAAGCTGGCAAGATACCCTTGATTACAGGGCTAACGCTGCCAGCTGCCAGCTGCGGGTCGTGATACCCAGCGCAACTCTGAGACACCTGAGTCTAACACCAGTAGCTGAGTGCAAAACATAGAACCTCTAACCCCAAGTACCTGCAGCCATAGGTTCCTATTCTCAGGATCTGCAGCTGGAAAGCTGAGTCTGTCAGCACAGCCTAGAAGCCAGCCTTTGGCATCCAAGGGCCCAGGTCTTCAAAACTAGAAACACCTCTCCTTGCCTACTCATCATGGGTAGAGCAAAGCAACTCAGCTTTAATAGTAAAGGGGTAGGCTGTAGTGGTGTTAAAACACCAAAACCTGGGGGAAAGCTACACCACTGTTAAACATTCTACAGGCTGATTACAACCTTATTGCTTTCAGAGTTGCAACGTTACAGGTTCCAGAACCATATTATCTTGGGCTGGAGAGCTTTAGCTCCTCAATTACCACCTCTGCCCACTAGTGCATGTGTGACCTAACATCTTTTGTGACTGTTAAATACTTTTGGAATGTACAAACAGACCCGGCTTCCACCAACCCAGAGGCTAAGAATGCTGTCAGACAGCATCTGAGGCCTGTAACAGAGGCCTCCCCACTTGCTGTAATCCACCTGAGGTTTCCACCGAGGCATTTTAAGTATCTCCATTTATCATTTTCTTTGTCCTGTTACTATAAAAACTCTGTAAAATTTCTACATCAGAACAAGCTATCTGAGGTAAACTATTCCTGTGCCAAAGTCCCTCATCTTTGAGGTGAAGACTGTGTTTCTGGACATGGGCAAAGCTCAAACGCTGCCTGTGGCTGCTAGCTGCTATTCAGAGCTGAGGATTACATCATCTGCCCACTGACCATCCAAGCCCAGAACAGGAAACCTCCAACCTCAGTTAAGACCACAAGTCTCTGGCCTCAGTACCTGGAGCCCTAAGTCTCTGTTTCAAGACTTGAGAGCTTGTCTTAGGGTTTCTATTGCTATGATAAAACAACACTGTGACAGGGCCAGTGTTCCTCCGTCTCATCCCTGCTGTAGCCATCTAAGGTCAGACTCAGGGCTGACTCCGTTTACACTCCCTCCTATGGGAAAATCCCTCAGAAAATCACCCAACCCTGTCTTAGGGACTGAGGTCAAGATGCCCCAGGTAATTGCTGCTTTTTGCTTCTGTTAAACTGCTTGCTCTTCTTCCCCCTGCAATGTCAACCACAATGCTCTTTTTACCTGTTTTAAGCTCCCCGCAGAAAACAGTTGGGGCTGCTCTGTGAGAACTCTTTCTCTCCAGGCAGTTGATGGCCAGCTTAATAAAGACTCCCATATTCCGGATTCTGGTTTTGGGGATCTTTGCCCACGACAACCCCAACCAAAAGCAACTCTGGGAGGAAAAGTTTTATTTCATCTTCATACTTCCTGGTAAATAGTCCATCATTGAGGAAGTCAGGGTAGGAACTGAAGCAGAAACCGTGGAGGACCACTACTTATTGGCTTGTTCCTTTTTTTTTTTTTTTTTTTTTTTGGTTTCTCTAAATAGCCCTGGCTGCCTGGAAACTTGCAATGTAGATCAGGCTGGCCATGAACTCAGAGGTCCGCCTGCCTCTGCCTCCCGAGTACTAGGATTAAAAGCATGAGACACCACTGCCCGGCTTGCTTTTGCTTTCTTTATAGAACCTAGGACAACCAGTCCACTGATGGCACTACTCATAATTACTCCATATTAATCACTAATTTAAAAATGCCCCCTAGGCCAATCTTATATTAGTATTTTCTCAACTGTGGTCCCTTCTTCTCACATAACTACCTTAAAAATAAATAAACAAATAAATAAAAATAACCAAGACAGAGATGTAGTATTCTGGGTCTGTTAGCCCAACTCATAGACCTTTGGCATCAAGGGCTTGGATCACCACCACTTCAACACCTTGCCTAAATCACATGCATAGGGCGAAGGTGTTACAACCACCCTGCTAACAAAGACACAGGCATCTTGGGTACCATCTTGTAATCCATCTCTAGACCGGATCTCACTTCCAAGGCCTGGCACAGGTGTTCTGTCTCCCCCCAGTCCTGGAATCCCTACAGCTTCACAGACGGGCCACCACGTCTGTGCATACTGCAGCTCAGAACCTCAGGACGGCTACAGGGACTGCCGGGCCACGAGAATCTCGCCCGCGGCCCAGTCCTGTCTCGGGCTCCCTGGTACAGGCCTGCCACCTCGCCTAGAGCTGCCTCATCATGACTCAGCCCAGGCCAGAGATGATGCGCGACTGTTCCAGAAAAGAGGCGGAAGACAAGGTGGAGCCGAGAGGGTGAACGGTCAGATTGGTCGCACGATGAGTGACAACATCACTGCGCGCGGCCCTCGGGGCCGTCACGACGGGAAGAGATTGGCTGGGCTTCGGTGACGTTTTGGGCGCGCCCGCAAGCCTAGCCTAGGGGTTACAGGATTGGTTGGCATTAGTACGGCGTCATCGGAGAGCGCCGGGAACGCCCAGGATGAGTGACTCTGTAAATGTTGGCTGAGAATAAATGGCCCAGGCTGCGACAGGTGCGATGCTACGCTTTCCGGCTTTGCGAGAAGGCGGGTGGCACGCGGGGATTGAAGCCACAGTTCTTACTGCGGTGTCGCCGGGCTGATCACGAAGAAGGACACCGCTGTCTGTCTCCGCCGCCGGCCCCCGACTACCCACTAGAGCCAGGTACCAGTGTGTCGCTTTGGGTCGCGATGAACCGGGGTCCCAGGAGCTGGTGAACCAGGGGCTGGTGTCTCAGCCCGGTGACATAGTACATCCCCAGGTCAGCTGTCCTGAACCAGTGTCCGTGAGCCAGGCGTGGTAATGCAGGCCTGTAGTCTCAGCACTGGGGAAGTTGAGCCATTAGATCGCAAGTTCCAGGCTAATTTGAGCTAAATAATGAAGATCCTTTGTCAAGAAACAGTCTATGTACCGGACATGGCGAGTTGCACCTTTAATCCTAGCGCTCCCGGAGGCAAACGCAGGCGGATCTCTGAGCTGATGGTCAGCGTGGGCTACAAAGTGAGTTACAGGACAGCCAGGACAACCTATCCCTAGGGGGGAAAAAAGAAAAGAAAAGAAAGAAACAATCGATGGTCATTTGGTAATAGCATCAAATGATGGTAGCTTTGAATAAAAAAAATTCATAATGTGGATTCTGTTGTGCACGATGCCAAAAGGTTTTTCTAGCTAACAGGAATGAGAATCGACAGTGAGCAGTTAAACGTACTAGGAACGAGGGCGGGTAGTGAATGGGGGCTGGCAGGTGGTATGGATGGTGTTCGAGAAGGTGACACTGTAGATTGGTCCTTGCAAGGCAAATAGATATTTACGGAAGCCTGAGAGTTCTAGGCAAGGAAGAGGTTAGAAGCTCCTGGTAGAGAGGGGGAATGGTCAAAAATGTAAAAAGGTATTTGGGGGACTTGAACTCTGGAGAATGCATGAGTTTTGAGCCATTTGATGAGTGACAGAACAGAGAAGAGACTTAGCCTGGCCTCAAGGATACCAGTCTCTTAGTTGTCTGTTCTTGTGGGTAATTAATGGCTTGTGCCTCCTTCCCTGATCAGCTCTGGTCTTAAATCATTAAATAACAAGCATAAAGTAAAACTCAGTGCATAAGGGAGTAAGAGGCAAGGGACACACCGCTCTGGGGAGTGTAGTCAGCTAATGTCATTTAGCACCTGGGAATAGAATCTTGTTGATGTCAACAAGTGTACTGAGGAGATGAAATTGCAACCTCAACTTCTCCGTGGAAGCTCTGAACTGAATCTGGAAAGCCCTTCTCCTTGTCACCACCTTTGTTTTGTTTTTGGCCAGGGCTGGAGATTGAGCCTGGAACGCCCCCTTCCCACACGCTAGGCAGACATTCTGTTTCTAAGCTAAGCACCTCGGTGTCACTTCTCAGACATCATCCGCCTTTTTCTTTGAAGTAGGATGATCTGCCAGTGAATTCTGACTCCGACTCCTCAGCACTAGGATTCCAATCACTAACCACTACCTCTGACTTTTTCCTTTTCTTTTCGTTTTGAGACTGGATCTTGCTATATCTCTGTGACTGTCCTGGGAACCTGCTACGTAGACCAAGCTGGCCTTGAACTCACAGAGATCCATCCACCTCTGCCTCCCAAGTAACTGATATTAAAGGCGTGCGCCCACCATGCCCAGCTGTACCTGACTTTTTTATGGGAACTCTAGAGATTGAAATTCAGTGCCCACGCTCACAAGGGAAACGGTTTATCAGTTGAACTATCTCCCTGGCCCTCTTTCTACTGTTTTGTTTTTGTGTTTTAAGCAGGGTGTGATTGTTAGCTTTAACTGTCCACCTGGCACAACTTAGAAGCACCTGGAAGAAAGTCTCAATGAAGGATTGTCTGTCTACATTGGGCTGGCCAGTGGGCATGTCTCGGGCTGGGGTGGGGAGTTTTCAAGATCATTGATTAGGGAAAACCCAGTATACTATGGGTGGCACCATTCCCTAGGCAGGGGGGCCTGAACTATATAAGAGTGGAGAAATGGAGTTGTGCCCAAACAAGTGAGCAAGCATTTATTCATTTCTCTCTGGTCTTGACTGCGGATGTGACATGACTGTTTCAGGTCCCTGCCACCTTGATTTCCTTACAGTGATGGGACTATTACCTGGAACCTGAAGGTTCTTTTTATCACAGCAAAAGGGAGGAACTGATACACATGGTCTCCCAAAGCTGTCCAGGCTGGCCTAGAGTTCGTGTGATTCTCTAGCCTCAGCCTTTAGAGTGGTTGGGATGGCAGGTCTGCCCCACCTAGCGTGGCTTGGGAATCTCAGGATGCATTGAGATGTGACTTTCCTGGAAATCCCGTGGCTGGGACATGCTTTGTAAACTAGGATCTAAAAGGTCTAGACAGCAAGCCGCCTCCCACCGTGGGTGTGGTTCTCCGGCCGAGACTTGGTGTTCATGGAGAGACTCCCACTTGCCTCTCTGCTGAAGTCTTGAGCACTTGTGAGACTTCAGTCTTTCCCGCGGCCCCAGGATGATTTGGATAACCCATGCTCCCCATAGAGGGAGTCTCTTGGTGCTCATTGGCCGCAGGGAACAGGTCCTGGTGATTAACTTGGGTCCTCATTCTCTTCATTTCTAGTTCCCACAGGGGATACTTGAATACCTACCCGTGTTTTGGACACTGTGTTCATAATGGAGTTTCCTGACTTGGGGAAGCACTGCTCAGAACCGACTTGCAAGCAGTTAGGTAAGAACTTTTGAGGGTTCCTTCTAGGAAACAATATTTCATTGGCTGTTTTGTGAGGGACATCTGGTTATTACATCATTAACTAAGTAGTTGGCCTCTGCCCTGGCCTTTGGCTTCTCAGTATAAGGACTCCGGTGCAGGACACAGGGTCTCTTCCTCACTGTAGTTCAGCACCCACCTAAAACCTGGCAATGGCTGCCAGGGCTATGCAGATAAAATATACAGCTTGGGTGATTGTGATATCACAAGAGATGGAATCCATGTTGAGAGGATAGTTCTTTGGGTCCTTTGGTGTCTCTTGGCCTTATTACATTTCTAGCCTTGGCACTGGGGTTGTGGATGAGTTGATAGAACTCTTTGCCCAGCATGTATGAAGCTCTGGATTCCATCCCAGCACCATGTAAAACCAGTGTGGTGGCTCATGTCTGTAATCCCAGCACTGGAGAGGTACAGGCAGGAGGAACACACATTCAAGGTCCTCCTGTGTTACATAGTGAGTTCTGGGCCAGCCTGGACTAAATAAGACCACTGTCTCTCTCTCTCTCTTTTTTTTTTTTTTTTAATTTCCTCTCCCCACAGTTGTTTTCTCTCACGTGACACTTCAGGCTGTATATGTCTCTTAAAGGGATGAGGAGCCCAGTGTAGATATGTCCCTGCTTTGACTGGTCTGTAATTCTTTGGTTCCAATCTTTCAGAAACTTACTGTTTTGTCTTGATTTTTGTTTTTAGATTTTCTGCCAATAACATGTGACGCGTGTAAACAAGATTTCTGTAAAGATCATTTTTCCTATGCGGGCCATAAGTGTCCCCTTGCATTCAAGAAGGTAACTCATCCTCCCGGGGTCTAGACTGCATGCACCACACCTGTTCTGTGCTGGCCAGAGAATGGTCTGTGATAGCCATGCTTTGAGTTCTGAATGAGCGGGTTTATTAAGTGTGTAGCAAACCGAGGTAAAAGAGTCAGTAGCAAGAGAAAGCTGAAAGGAGAGATGGTGGATGGGTAGGTGAATAATAAAACATCATCCAGTTGGGCACTTAGAACATCCAGCAGGAACAGACTGGGGAGGGTGAGGGAGTCAGCCGGAGCCCCCAGTTGCTGTGTTCTTCTGGCTTCCTATTCCCACTGCGTACTTTCCTGTCACGGGGTCAGCAACAGGCCCTATATTGGATGTCGTTTCCCCTCTAGCTGTTCGCTATGACATGGCGCTTTACTCTTGGTCTGCATTGCCGTTCTCTTCTCCCAGTCACAGTTAGGGGATGGACCAATCCCCAGTCAAGGCTTAGAGGACATGTTGAGACAAACACAATTGAGTTTGAAATGGGGTGGGGATGGGTTGCATCATGGCTTCCAGAGCCAGCTTTTCAGTGAACGCAATACAGTGTACCTCACATCAATACAGTGGATACCAGCCACAGCAGGTACTTATATTAATTAGGTTTTTTTTTTTCCATTATTTACTTGTTTAGTTCTGTTTTTTGAGACAGGGTCTCACTTCGTAGCTCTGATGGCTTAGAATTTGCTCTCAATCAGGCTGACCCTGAATTCATAAGAGATCCATCTGTCTCTGCCTCCTAAGTGCTGGGTTTAAAGGTGCTCTCCACTACGTCCAGCTGCTATCCACATTTTTTGAAACAAGGTCGGTTATTGAATCTGGAGCTTACCAAGTGGCCAGACCGGCTGGCCAGCAAACCCCAAGATCTCCACATCTTTGCCTTCCTGGCATTGGAGTTACAAATGCATACTGCCAGCCAGGCACAGTGGTGGCACATGCCTTTAATCCCAGTACTCGGGAGGCAGAGGCAGGTGGATCTCTGTGAGTTCGAGGCCAGCCTGGTCTACAGAGTGAATTCCAGAATAGTCAGGGCTACACAGAGAAACCTTGTCTCAAAACAAATAAACAACAACAAAATTAAATGCAAGCACCTGACTATTATGTGGATGCTGGGATCTGAACTTGGGTCTCTGAGCCATCTCCCTAGCCCTTTAGACTCTGCGTGTAAGGGAATAAGCAACTGTGGAAAGAGATGGCTAATTTTTAGTGTCATTGCTTGCTAGAAGACCGTATGGAAGGACTCACATAGATCCTGAAGTATTTGTGCTCTGAGCTGTCTGTCCCTGGCGCGTGCACAGGGTCAGCAGTGACAGTCTTCTGGGACAGTCAGGAAGTCAGGAGAGCCCTTGATTGCCTCTGTAGCCTGCGTGTGTAGGTGTGTTGACTCCAGATAGTGTGTGTGTGTGTGTGTGTGTGTGTGTGTGTGTGTGTGTAAGTGTAAGTCAGGATTGAGCTAGTTCAGTGGATGAACTATGGCTGTAGGCCGTGACCCCTGAGGCCCATGGGGAAGTCTACACCCTCCCAGCCAAATTGTGCTGTGTCTGAGGGCAAGGAGAGAGCAGCCTCAGGTGCCATCCACCTTGTTTTCTGAGATAGTCACTCACTGCCTGGAATTCACCGAGTGGGTTAGGCTGGCTGTTTAGCAGGCCCCAGAGATCCTCGTGTCTTCACCTCTGCAGTGTTGGGATTGCCAGCACATCTCACCAAACCTGGCTTTCAGGTGGGTGCTGGGAGTAGAACTCAGGTCCTGGTGCTTGCATGGGTATCTCTACCACCTGGTCTGTCTCCCAGCCCTCTGATTGCACCCTCAGTGTGTGTTCCACAATCGAGGCTTCACAGTTGGCCCTTCACCTTCACACACTTGGCTGGTGGATTACCCTGCACCAGTGAACAGCAGGTGTCAAAAGTTTCTTGTTCCTTTGTCTTAGTAGCAGGAGTTTCTAGGAGATTCCACAGTGTCCAGCAGACACTGGGAGGTGCCTATTAGAACTCCGGGTCCCTCGAGTCCATGGGTTCGCTCTGTCCCAGAGGTGACTCACAGGTTATGTCAGTGAATTCTCCCACTTCCTCTGTTGGCATATGGACAGGGGGTGACTTTGTCACACGCCTTAAACAGTGCTGGGCACAGTCCAGCCAAGTCATTGGGGTGGGTGGGGTAGGTGACTCACATTCCTGCTTACCAGTTCTGATGACTAGGTGACCACCTGTTTGTGTGTCATCTGGACCTTTCCTTGTGCCCATGTATCTATCCAGAGATCACACAATAATGCTTTCTTTCTTGGGCACATCAGCCAACTGAGGCAGCCCTCCTGCAGACAGCAGGCCACACATGCCTGTGATCCCTGTTTCCGTCTGGTGTCAGCTGCCCCATCCCCCCTGGCATGAACCCCTCCCTCAGTGGTCCTGGCTCAGAATCTTGCCTTTACTCGCTCCAGAGCCCCCTCAGTGACTGACAGGTAGCAGTGTGGTGTAGCCTGTCCACCGCCGAGGCCGTTCTTCCTGCTGGTAAAACCACTGAGGGTCAGAGAGGCAGCTGCATAGAGCAGCTGCCAGGACCCTTCCTGCCAGTGGCTCTGAGGGGTCAAGTGGGTCCCCCTCACAGCCATGCACCTCCCCGATCCCATCAGCTTCCTCTCTTGAGGGCCCTTCAGAGCTGGCAGTGGTCTTCCTTGGGTCTTTACTCTTATGCTGTAGGTGGCATCTTGTTACCGCACAGTTCCTGGTCCTCACCAGTGTGCTCCCCCTGGTAAATACATTTTACCCTCTGTGTGTGTGTGAGTATGTGGCGTTTGAGTGTGAGTCTTGGTGTCATCGCGTGTTCATTATTTCAGGATGTGCAGGTGCCCGTGTGTCCCCTCTGTAATGTCCCTATCCCTGTGAAGAGAGGTGAGATCCCAGACGTGGTGGTTGGAGAGCACATGGACAGAGACTGCGCCTTTCACCCTGGGAGGAACCAAAAGAAGGTGAGAGCTGGGTTAGGGCTGGCACACACGCTGACACACACGCTAACACACAACATGGTGCTGCTGCTGCTGCTTGCGGGGACAGATCCTCATGTAGCCCAGGCTGGTCTCCTGTTGCTGTGCAGTCAAGTATGACCTTGAGCTCCTGAACCCGCTGGTTCCTCCTGAGTACTAGAATTGCACTCATGCTCTCCCATGCCTGTTTTAGGTGGTGTTGGGGATCGAACCTCGGACACAGTGCTTGTTAGGCAAACACTCTTCAGACTGAGCCACACCTTCAGCCCCTAAGGTCTCTTAAGTGTGGAGTGCCACCAGGCAGTGGGAAGCTGAGGTCTTCCTGCGTTGTGAGTGGGGAGTTTGTTGCGTGGGAACAGTTCCCAAGTCTCACAAGGGTCCCTGTTTAGGTCCTCATCTTCAGGAGTCCCCAAGTGTCTTTTCTGATAGGAAAGAGGGCAAGGCTGTCTAGAATGTTCTGTTGACTCTCTCCTTTTCTGCACTCCCCTGGAGTCAGAAGAAGGGGTCACCTGTCCTTTCCTGGCGATGGAGGTGTACCTGTCTTGGGTCTTTCTTGGAGAATAATGGGACTTCTCAGAGAAGATTTGTCCCCAGCCACCCAGAGGGCAGTACAAGCAAGGCCTGTGTGGCCCTTGAGCCGGACATAGCTGCCTCCATCCTGCCCCACCGTTGGTTCTCACAGCCTCCACCCAACCAGGTCTTCAACTGTGCCTCTGTATTAAAGGTGGCCTGTGGCCTCTCTGGGATGCGGTCCTGCTGTGCTTCTGCCCTTGTGCTGTGTTTCCTCAGAAGGCTTGCTCTGAGGCTTCCTTCAGCTAACAGCTGGGTCTTCTCTCACCTGCCAGCTCCAGGTCATGTGCCTTCAGCTTCTGAAGTCTGGCTGCATCCTTTCCCTCTCCCTTTCTTCCTCCTCCTACGCTTCCGCGTTCCTTCCCTCCCTCCCTTCCTCGTTGTTTTTGAGACTTAGTCTAGCTTACTCTTGATCCTCTGCCTCAGCTGTCTGAATGCTGGGATTACAGGCTTCCTTCATCAAGCCTAGCTCTTTTTGTTGTTTGCTTTTCTAGACTTGTTCCTTTTGGAGAAACCTCTTGGCTGCCGTTTTGTTGATACTTCACGAGGGGAAAAACCTTACCGCTTGCAGAGCCCTTCCTTATAGCAGCCTTCTGCCGACCACACATTCCCAGGGCCTGAGCTCCGGGCTCGGGAGCCCTCCCATTGTGGCTGTTCCTCCCCTGGGAGCTCCTTGTGTGTTTTTCTCCTGCTTATTGTTTTCTCTGATGTTCAGCCTCAGCCTGCCCCACCGTTTTCCAGAGTAGGCACATGCACACACAGGCTGGGGAGCAGCTCAGTGGATAAAGCTTTCCAGCTGGTCACGCAGGCCTGAAAACCTGAGTTAAAGCCAAATAGATCAGTGGCTCCCATGGAGCTGCTGTCAACTCTTGCTTTGCCTCCCAACCTGCCCTGTTTTCTTTCTGCAAGCTTCTCTCTCTCTCTCTCTCTCTCTCTCTCTCTCTCTCTCACACACACACACACACACACACACACACACACACACACACACACACTCCTGTCCCTCACGGGACTAGGTAGCAGGCATATACATGTAGCCATACCCAACTTTTACATGGGTGCTGAAGATCTGACCTTCGATCTCTCTCTATACCTTGACAACTGCTCTTACCCACTGAGCCATCTCCCCAGCTTCAGGTTTTGTTTTTTTGTTGCTTTTGTTTTTATTGGACAGTGTTGGAGAATGAGTCTGCTGCTAAGCCACAGCCATAAGCTTCTTTGTATGTGTGTGTGTTGTCAGGCGGGAGTGTCTGGGACCTGGCACACAGGTGGAGGCAGTTCTCTCCTAACTCTGAGCTGGGCTGGTGACATGCTGCTCACAGACGTGACTTTATTCTTGCAGGTTTTCACACACCGATGCTCGAAAGAGGGATGCAGGAAGAAGGAGATGCTGCAGCTGGCTTGTGCACAGTGCCATGGCAACTTCTGCATTCAGCATAGGCATCCTCTGGACCACAACTGCCAAGCTGGGAGCAGCTCGGCCAGCAGGGGGAGGTGAGCACAGACTCCTGGTGCTGCCAGTCTGGTGTGCAGGAGCTTAGATTCTCAGTCAGAGCTGGGGCTGCATGCTGGGTACCTCAACATCAGGAATTTATTCTTTCAGGAACAGAGAGTTGGCAACTGGTTGGCTCCTTCTGAGAGGCCTGACCTCTCCCAGTTCCTCCCAATTTTTGGTTTGCCCAGTACTCCCTAGTGAGCCTGGCTTTGTAGGCACATTGCTCCCATCTCTGCCTTTGTCTTGGTGTTGTCTGCCTGAGTGCCTGTCTGCATCCTGCCTCCTGCTCTGTTAGGACATAGTCAGTGTGTGCCCTGCGTCCTGATGGCTGAGGTGACTGATGCTCTGTTTGGTCATCTCAGATTTGTCTCTAAATGAGGTCCCTCCTGAGTGCTAGGGGTTGGGTTAGGACATTGGCCTGTCTTTTGTGCAAGGAGGCACAGGTCATCCTTTATTGCTACTTTTTTTTTCCAAGATGGAGTTTCTCTGTATAGCTTTGGAGCCTGTCCTGGAACTTGCGCTGTAGACCAGGCTGGCCTCGAACTCACAGAGGCCTGCCTCTGCCTCCCAAGTGCTGGGATTAAAGGCATGCACCACCACCCATCTCCTTATTGCTACTGTTTTAAGTTGTAGAAACTTCTGTCTGCACTCACTCCTGAGTCAAAATGAAATACAACTTGTGTGTGTGTGTGTGTGTTTATGTGTGCCCCTGCCCACCTGCCTACCCATGCATACACTCAGGCGTGCATGGATGTTGCTCCTTGAGTTCTACCTTGTTTGACACAAAGCCTCTTGTTTGCTGTGGCATGTGGCAGGCTGGCTGGCCTGAGAGTTTCCCTGGAGGTTGCTGTCTTCACCCCCAACATCCCTGTAGGATCCCTGGGATTGTGGACACACTAGCATTTAGCTCTTTCATGGTTCTGTGAGTTAAATGAGTCCTCAGGTTTGTGCAGCAAGCACTCTCCCCTGAACTATCTGCCAGCCCCATAAATTACCTCTTAGTCTTTACTCTTTAGTTGGGAGTAAGGATACATATATGCTTCAGCATGCATCTGCAGAGGTCAGAGGACAGCTAAATTACTTTGTAGCCGCACTTGACTTTCTTAAGCTGTTTGTATGTGATCCAGGCTGGAGCACAACTGTCCAACTGCAGAGACATGAGTGGGCTTTTTTGATGCGGGTCAGAGGATTGAATAAACACATCTGATTTTCCCTGTAGGCCTTCAGCATCCAGCGCTCCTGAGCAGAAGCCATCAGGAATCAGTTGGCTGGCCCAGCAACTCAGGTACTGGTCTAAATTGTCTCTCAAACATGTGACGTGCCATGCTTCCATAAGAAAGGCCTTGCCTGGCTACAGTAGCTGTTTCTAGAATGTCCCAAGTGGCCCCCAAGGTCCTTTAGCATGACAGACAGACCCCTTCTAGGCAGTTCTGACGTGGTGACCCATCACTTCTTCCTCTTCTTTTACAGGCGGACAGTGAAGTGACAGCGTGGGCCACACGCCAGCTCCTTTCCGGCACTTTCCTGATTCTCCTGGTAGACTGAGTCTTTATGGAAAAGTCTCCATTGACTGTTCAAGTTAGGGCAGAGAGATGGCTCAGTGGGTACTTGCCTCACAAGCCTGAGGACCTAGTTTATCCCCAGAATTCATGTTTTTGTTTTTGTTTTTTAAAGAAAAAAAAACAGATATGGTTGGTGCACACTTTTAATCTTACCAATGTAGAGTAGAGGCAGGCGAATCCTTGGGGCTCTGTGACCAGCAGCCTGGCCTAATTGGGGGTTCCGGGCCAGAGTGACATCACCTTGAAAAACAGGGTGGACATTTCCTGAGGAGGGACATTGGAGATTCATCTTTGACTTCACACACATATATGTACACCCACATGTACACATACATGTACACCCACATGTACACATACACACAACGCACAAATTACTTAAGAAATGAGGCTGTTCAGCAACTTTGAGCTGCGTTAGGTTCCTGTAGCAAGCGCTGAGTTCCGGAGCTGAGGACCTGTGTAAATATCAGTAGTGGTGGCTTTGGCCTGTGCTATACCATTTCCGGAAAATTCTGTGCTATAACAGAAAAGAGCTGCTGATGACTCTGAATTCTTCCCTATATGGCTTTTGTAATGAGCTGTCTGTGGGGCACAGTCCTCTCACGGTCCCCAAGAGCTCAAGTGAGTGTGGTGCCCTTTCCTGACCCCGGCTGGGGCTACTGTGGAGGGAGGATGTGTACTTGGCCTACAGTGGACTTAAGCAACCAGCTTAGCTATGCCATGACTCCTCATTCCTGGCTTCAGTTTTCACTTCAAGACAGAGTCTCACCATGAATCTCCAGCTGTCTTGGAACTCACTCTGTAGACCAGGCTGGCCTTTAACTCACAGAGATCCACCTGCCTCTGCCTCCCAAGTGTGGGTCCAGTTTTAACTCCCAAGAAGAGCATCATGAAAGGGAAGCCCTCTCTGGACTTTATGGTGGCAGCAGGCAGGGGCTCCCCTCTTGGTCTCTTTTGAGGAGCAGAAACCCAGACAGGAGGAGCAATGGAGAAGGTCTGCAGGGTGTGACCTCTGTTGCTCCTGTGTCACCTGTGTGGCCTAAGCACGAGTGCCACCAGCTGCCCATGCCCACGTGGGGAAGAGCATGTCTGGAGTGCCCCGGTGACAGATGCCAGCATTAGATTGATCCTGATGACCACTGGGTGTCAGGGATGTCATGGGACCAGCCCCCCAAGCCAGTTTTCCCTTAACCCTGATTTCTGACACCTTTGGGGCAGTTGAACTCCCTGATTTACATACCTAGCAGCATTCTGCAGGGTTTTGTGGCCTCTGACTGTAGGGGAGGCAGGACTGGGTTCTTAGCCTGTTCTCCGAAGACTTGACTGTGAGTGTCCTAAGCCAGTGCCTCTCCAGGGTCCGTGTCAGTATGGCTCCCAGCTCTCATGCTGCTTCCTACTCCCAGTCTCTGACTAGTTCTGAGGGGACTCGGGGTTTGCCCTTAGAACAAGGTCTAGGCTGTGGTGCTGTGTGGGGACACTGAGACAAATCATGTCTTTGCCTCTACTTCCCAGGGTGGTAGCCCCTAACCTTCATGGTGATGGGCACTTTAGATGTAGCCAGCATAATGGAGCTTTTCATTCTGCTTCAGGTTTAAAATATCTGGGTTTGTAATTAGGCACCATTTAAGTATGTTAGGGACTTGGCTGTGTGAACCTACCTCCTAATCATTTTATGAAATAAAAATGCCTCAGCTGAGATAACTTCAGATTGGGAATTAAAAACCATTGCCCCTGTAGTTTAAGAGTTGTACTGCTCTTGCAGAGGTCAGGAGTTTAATTCCCAGCGTCGCTCACAACTACACGTAAACTTCAGCTCCCGGGCATCTGATACCTCTGGCCTCTGTGGGCACTTGCACTCAAAGCCACACACCCTTAAGCACATAAAGAAAAGTCAGAAGTGTGTTGGGAAAGGTTAGGGCCTAGCTTTGTGGATTAACACTTGCCTGGAGTCCACCAATGTGGAGCTGAGGCCATGATCCATAGGAGAGCACCTGCCTAGCACCCCTCAGGTCTGGGGCATGGTTTCTAGTAGAGCACCTGCCTATCGTGTCTGAGGCAAAGGAAGCAAAACAAAATCACCAGGCTTCAAGGACAATATCAAATGTAAGACGTTGTTTATATGTTGAAATATTTTACATATAATGGTTAATAAAATAATTTTTTTCACTTGTTTGTTTTTTATTTATTTTTAGATAAGAGTCTCTCTAAATAGTGATCTGTAGACCAGTCTGACCTTGAACTCAGTGCTCCTGCCTCCACCTGGAATTAACAGTATGCGCCAATGCCCCCAGCTTGTTTACTTTTCTATGTGTGTGTTCTGTCTGTGTGTGTACTGAGTACGTGCCTGGTGCTTGCAGAGATCAGAATGTGTTTTCTTGAGAAGTGTGGATAATTATTTTCAAAGTCTGCATTTTGTGTGTGTGTGCGCTCACGCATGTGCATATATGGAGTTCAGGTGTATTTGTTTGTTTGCACATGTTGGCACAAGGGTACACAAATGTGGAAGCCTGAGAATGACCTTCGGTGTCTTCCTTGGTTGCTCTCCACCTTATAGCCTGAGGCAAGAGACTCGATTCACCTGGGTCTAGCTGCCAGCCAGCTCCAGGAATCCCTGTCTTTGCCTCTTGCATGCTGGTTCTACTGGAAAGCTGCCATGCCCACCTTTTTTTTTTTTTTTTTTAAAAGACCTGGGGTCTTGAACGCTGCTTCTCACATTTGTGTGGCAATCACTGCCTTCTGAACATCTTCCTGGTCCTGTGTGCTCTTTTTAAGCAGAGACTTGCCCCTCTACTCTAGTACATATTAGGAGGATTCTCTGTCCCTCGCTGCTGGGGTGCTATGGGTGGAGGCTGTTGGGGAACACTAGGTGGAGGGAGGAGCTTTGTATCCATAAGACTTGCTGTTAAGCCGTGTGTTGGTGTCCTGGTCCCTGCCCAACCACCTTGAGTGGGTAGGAAGGGTCTGTTTTCATACCCGCCCCAGGTAGTTAGCATCATGGTGTACGGACAATGCTGGGATGAGCAGGTGCATTGATATCCCTGTGTGTCATTCAGTGAGCACCAGCGTGGCCTTGGGCACCCTCAGAACCCTCCCAGAGGCACAGAAAGTGGGACTGAAACCAGATTGAAAAATGGAGAAAATTGACAAGAAAATGTAAAGAACCTGCTAACACAAGAGTCTGAAAACTTAACCAGCTGAGAAACAAGAATTCTAATGTAATTAATAACTGCTTAAGGCCTTGCTTTTCTCAGCTCACTGCTCCCAAAGAGGACCAGAGTTCAGTTCCCAGCACCCATGTCTGGCAGCTAACATACTGGTACTCTACCTCCGGGGGTTCTGATGCCCTCTTCTGGTCTCCATCAGTACCTGCACCACATGTACACACTGAAACACATAAATTTTTTCAATATTTATTTATTATGTATACAATATTCTGTCTGTGTGTATGTCTGCATGCCAGAAGAGGGTACCAGACCTCATTACAGATGGTTGTGAGTCACCATGTGGTTGCTGGGAATTGAACCCAGGACCTCTGGAAGAACAGGCAATGCTCTTAACCACTGAGCCATCTCTCCAGCCCAACACATAAATATTTTTAAAAAATCCCTTTTAAAAGATTATATCCCTATCCAAGGCACTCGTAGAACCACCCTATGATTTCAGTTATAGGAAAGGGAACAGAGATAGAGGAAGGGTTGTCCCCTAACAATCTATTAGGTAACAAAATTCCAAAAGTTACAAAAATCCTACATGCAGTCACCATTGAAGACACTTAACCACTGTTTTTTAAAAAGCTCACACCCATGGGCTGGAGAGTTGGCCTGGCTGGAGAGAGTTTAAGAGAACCCAGGTTCCATTCCCAGCACCCACATAGTGGTACACAACTGTCTTGTAACTCCAGTCCCAGAGGATCCAATACCCTCTTCTGACCCCTGTAGGCACCAGGTACATACGTGGTGAGCATATATGAATGCAAGCCAAGTATACACATAAAAATAAATATAAAACTTAAAAAATTAAGCCAGCCAGGCATGGTGGCACACACCTTTAATCCCAGCATTTGGGACACAGAGGCAGGCAGATCTCTGAGTTAGAGATCAGTCTGGTCTACAAAGCAAGTTCCAGGACAGTGAGGGCTGTTACATAGAGAAAGCCTGTCTTAAAAAAAAAAAAAAAGAAGAAAAAAAAAAAAACAAGAACAAAATTAAGGAGCCCACACCTATACTCTGACATGTGGTTTATTACTTTGGTGACTTCTTTTTTTCTTTTTGTTGTTTTAAAAGTGTCTCATTATCTGGCATGATAGATGTGTGGCCTCTGAACTCACAGAGATCCACCTGCCTCTTCCTCCCAAAGGCTGAGACTAAAGGTGAGAGTCACCACACTCAGATCGTTTCTTTGAAACAACGTCCTACGAATCCATGGCTCGCCTCAAGGATGGTCTTGAGCTCCCGATCCTCCTGCCTCCACTTTCCAGGAACTAGGTTCACAGACGTTTATCACTCTACCAGTGTCTAAGGTGCTGGTGATGGAACCCAGGGCTTCACTGATGGTCGGTGAACATGCTATCAAGTGAGCTACAGCCCATCCCGCTATTTTGATAACTTGTCCTGAAATTCTTTTCTGCATTGAAACCAAGGATTTTGTTTCACCTGACTCAAGGTTCCCTAAAAGATTTTTTAAAATTTAAAGAAAACTTGACGACTCAGTGCTTGCTGAACACTTGCTGCTCTTCTGAGAATTCAAGTTCGATTCCCAGCACCCACATTCATCACACACCCAGCTCCCAACCATCCAAAACTCCAGTTCTGGAGAATCTGAAGCCCTCTACTGGTCCCTGCAAGTCCTGCAGTGCACAGATCACATGCAGACAAAACACTCCTATACAAAAAATTAGAACAAAATTTTTTTTTTGATTTTTTGAGACAGGGTTTCTCTGTAGTTTTTGGTGCCTGTCCTGGAACTAACTCTTGTAGACCAGGCTGGCCTCGAACTCACAGAGATTCGCCTGCCTCTGCCTCCCGAGTGCTGGGATTAAAGGCGTGCGCCACCACCGCCCGGCCCTAGAACAAATTTTTATTTTTAAAAAATTTCTTTTATTATGTATACAGTGTTCTGCCTCCATGTTTGCCGATATGCCAGAAGAGGTCACCAGACCTCATTATAGATGGTTGTGAGCCACCATGTAGTTGCTGGGAATTGAACTCATGACCTCTGGAAAAGGTCTTAACCTCTTAGCCATCTCTCCAGCTTTAAATCTTTATTTTAAAATAAAAGAAAATAAAAAAGTTTTAAAGAAATTCCTCAGGCTGATACAGGTGACAGAATGGAGCCCCCATCCCTGTTGCTGCTGAGAGGCCTGCACAGAAGCTGCCCCACTGGGCACAACCCAGTGGTCACTAGATTACCCAGGTGTGTCACTATTCACCTGCCAATCATCCCCGGTTCTACAGAGTGTAAAATCGACCTTTAACTTAATTATGTGTATACATGAGACTGAGTGTTTTGCCCACACGTATGTCTGCACTTGTGTGTGCCTGATGTTTTTGGAGGTCAGAAGAGGGTGCCATAGCTCCTGGAATTGGAACGTGGCAGTGGTTGTGAACCACCATGTAGTGCTAGAACTGAACCCAGGTCCTCTGGAAGAGCAGCAAGTGTTCTTAACTGCTGAGCTGTTTCTCCAGCCCTGGAAGATGGTTTATGGGTTTATGTTGTTTAAAGAGAATCCCAGCATGTAGTCCAGGCTAGCCATGATCTTGAAATCCTACTGCCTCAACCTCCCAACTGCTAGAGTCCTGGGATTACAGGCAAGAGCTCCCACACCTGTCAAGCCTAGTGGCCTCATTTTCTTGGAGTTGCTTGGGATCTATGTCTGGTATAGGCTGGAAGGGTCAGCACATTAGCCAAAGGCTTCCTTCCTGTCTCTTATGGGGCAGACACCTCTTCAACTGCTCTGACATCTTAGAGCTGGCTTTGGGAAGAGTCATCCTGCCCATCTCGGCTGCTTCCTCCCTTTTCTGAGTTGTCTTCTGTTGTCAGATCCAGTCCGTCTTTGGGTGGACTCCAAAGCCTGGCTGTTTTTCAGACCAGAGACTAGGGACAGTGGCTGGCTTTTCAGGACTGTGAGCTGCAGTTTCTGTCCTTCTCACAAGATGTCACCAGAAGGCCTTTGTTGGAATGCAGGTTGACAGTGCCGCAGGCCCTTCCTGTGAGGCACCAAAGAACTAGGTGGTGTCCCTGAAACCTGGGTCTGAGCAGTCACCCTTACCTCTCTCCCATAGCTGGGGACTAACAATGGTCTCTTCAGTTCCTCAGCTCCAAAACGAGTTTGGGAAGCGGGTCGGTATGTGGGTGAATTAGATTTTCTTTCCCAAGTTCAAACTTGAAAAGGGGGATCTTTGATGTCCCCTCTGCTTTACAAGTGTCTTCTTTCCCCATGTGTATGTGTTGTGTGGTGTGCATATGTGCGGAAGTGTGTGTGTGTGTGTGTGTGTGTAGACCGAAATTGATATCAGACATCTGCCTCAATCACTCTCCACTTTATTCATTGAGGCAGGCACTCTCAGTTGATCCCAGAGTTCAGTGATTCAACTAGTCTGGCTAACCAGGCTGTCCTGGGTTCCTCTGTCTCCGCCTCCTGAGCCTCAGGATTACAGGCGACTGCCAGGTCTGCCAGCTTACTCATCTGGGTTCTGGGGATCTGAACTTCTGTCCCACCTGTGCAGCAAGCACTTTATCCACTGAGCCATCCGCAGCCCACGTTTTCAATGTCTTGAGGGGAGTATGGAAGGGGAAGCTGGCCTGACTTCTCTTCTTGTCCTGGGTAAGGAGTGACTTGTTTTATTTTTCTGGAACAGTGTGAGAATGCATAATCAGAGGCAGGAGGGGTGGCTCGGTGGTTGAGAGCACAGACTGCTCTTCCAGAGGCTCTCAGTTTGACTCCCAACACCCATATCAGGCGACTCACAGTGAGCTTCCGGGAACTCTGGCTCCTCTGGCCTCTGTGGACACCTGCACCCCTGTGCACACACTGCCACACAGACACACATACTTTAAAATCCTTCACAGGTGTGCCCTATTTTGGGGTTAAGATGATTTCGGATGTAGTCAAGTTGACAACCAAGAATAGCCATCCCACAATTCCTGCAAATTGTCCTCTGATCTTC